AGGGCTTTGGGTTTGGGGTTGAGGGGCTTCGGGCTTGGGGTTTAGGGTTTGGGGTTTAGGGCTTTGGGTTTAGGCTTTAGGGTTTAAGGCTTGGGGAGTTTCGAGACAAGATTTTTCGGGTGAAGGGTTGTCCTGGTCTCAGGGTCCAGGGTCTGGGTTTCGGGGATTAGGGGTCAGGGGTTTTCATGGTCTGTTGTGACAACGTTCATCGACGGCAATCTACTGAGATCGCCTCAAGCTGGTGTAAGTCAGCGTAACTGTCTCTGGATCAACTTTATACACTTGTCTGTTTTGTTAGTTGCTCGAGATACCAAAACCTTCATGGTACCGGCTGTACTACATGGTCCGCACTTTTCGGGTTGAAGAACATGTATACCCCTAAACCGACAGCCCCAACAGCTTGTGTCCCAAACTGTCCTGCTTGCCTTGCCGTATCGTGCGACCCTTAAATCCTGAACCCTAAACAAAAAGCATCCTAGACCCTAATCAACGTTTTGGCAGCCGAGGAGACGCCTCAAGTTCCTTGGCGGAGTCGTGTGGGCGGTGTCCAGGATTGGGGTATCGACATCAGTTCCCAAACCCTAAGCCTATAGAACCGTGTAGTATCCTGCAGTAACCCTTGCAGTACTCCTCAGAGGAAACCTCAAAGTAAAAGCTTTCCTTTTTTTTTGCAGGGTGGAGTATGGTGCTCAGGGGCAAAGCCTAGTGGGAAAATGCAGTGTTTCGGCTCTTTGGATGTCCAAGTCGGGCTCTAAACACCAAACGCTCCGACACACCCCTAAACCGTAAACCCTAAGCCTTAAATCCTAACTCCTAAACTCTACGAAACCCACACCCCTTGATGCTCACAATCTCCGTGCTTCCACTCCCACACGCAGAATCTGATGAGATGCCGAATCCTTTTCCCAGTACTCTCCCAGCCACTCAACCTTCGGCCTGGGGTAGGGGGCCGTCTATCATGGATCTGTATGATGCCCTACTACGGTTGATGATATAAATCCTGCACCACCCGTGATAAGGAATATTCCATAACTCCCATAGTTTCGGGTTCTTAAGGTAATGCAGGTTTTATATCATCAACAGAGGGGACGAAGCTTCCATTTTCTGTGAGAGCTTCTGATACCTGAAGCGCAAACCTCGAACCCCGGTCCTTGAGGCTTCGCTTGTCAGCAATTCCAGTAGTCAGGAAGGCCTTACCTGTGCAGGTAACTATACGGTGAACGCTCTATTGATGGTACGTAGGAGGTCTGGATTTCATGTAGGGCCCTTTCCCGTGTTAGATGCAGTTGTTGGGAACTTCGGCTCCAGGGTGCGGCGTAGTATCACAGCACCTTCCAGCGAAACGGTGCCCTGTCCTGTGGGGGTCATGCAGGATATCTTCACCGCTGAGGTCTGCATGATTCTGAAACTTCCTTTTGGGACTTGCAGCTTGCGTTTCAATTGAGCCGTAGGTACTCTGCGATGATGGACATCAGTCGTCTTGGGCCCATGCCGTGGGTGAATCATCGAACGATCCAGCCTGCTTCCCTTCTGCAGTCGAAGGTGCCGCGTCGCAGTTGCGGCGACATTCGGACAGACTCACTAAGACTCTTCTGCACGAGCATTGCATGTGGCAGAGAGAGTTCCCCAAACGTAGTTCCAACTTCTGGGCTGGTTGCAGTGCTGGTGTCATTGGGAAGAGCCTCCACGATCAAGCAAAGTTCGCAGAGTGCGTGGTGCATGTTTGGTGCACTGTTCGACCGGGTGTTCGACCAGCAAGGGCTTTACAGAGCTGCTGGTGGACGCAGACTCCCACAACCAAGGACAAATTGAGCAAGTGGTTTCAAAAGTCCAGTCTTGGGGTCTTGCCTTTCGTGGACGAGTCTTTGCAGCGCGGGCAATGAAGAAATGGAAGGGGTTCATGCGGAAGCAAGGCCTCACATTTCACCATGTTCCACCTGCAGGGATACAGGGGGATCCTGCTGATGATGTGATCCTGCGCTGCATTCAGTCGCTCGCGTTGGATCCCTCTGTCGACTGCATTGCACTGCTGACTTCGGACTCCGACTTTTTGAAGTCCTTACTGCAGATAGCAAAGTCTGGGAGAGATGTACGAGTATTCATACCCCAGGAGAAAAGGGGCACGATACTGAGATATGAAAGGGCCGGCCTCACCGTCATCCCAATCAACAGAGTTCATGGGGTTGTGTACACTGTCAAGGCAACTCTGTTTGCAAACGGTGATGGCTGTGTTCAGCGGTGCGAGCCAATACATCGTGTAGAATCGCTTGATGATGAGACGCAGTTGTTCTGCGATGTTCTCACAAGGCATGCCTACAGGCCACCCGAGGGTGCCAGGTTGATTCCTTGCATAGCCAAGTTTTGGGTGGCAAACTCCTTGGGCGATCTGACAGTCTTTCCCAACCAGTGCGCAATTCAAGCATTGTAGAAGATACTCCGAGAGTCGCGTGCATCGAATTGGGCCGATGATCCAGGAACCTTGGCCTTCCTGTTTCCACGGGGTCCGGCACACAGTTCTAAGCTGAAGCGAAGGCGGCTCGGAGGCGAACCTGCAAGCAGAGTTGCGAGAGGACCAGGTCCTTCAATGATGGAAGATTCACCAGATCTTGGCGAGCGAATCTTGCGAAAGCTCGGCTACTTGGACGACAGTTTCAACACAGACCTTGAAGAGGCTTTGCAGGTGTTCGTGAACACTTCGGAGAACAAGAGACTGTTGAGAACGATTGGAGCCATCCCTGATTTGAGGGATGCCGATTCCGCCATGTCAGTTACGCTCAGGCAGGCATTCCTCTCGAGCCGAACAGATGGTTCATGGCAGCAGGCGCCATCAGACACAAACGTCCGCCAACTGCTGTTGCAGCGCCGTTTGTTGCACAAGTCCGCTTCAAAGGGTGATGTTTTCAAAGCCATGCAGCAGTATGTCCAGAAAGAGTCATTGGAGACGATGAAGACCTACAACGGCCTCGTTTGGCGGATTGTAGCTGCAATGAATGCCGAAGATCCCTGCCGCAGGGATGTCGTCAGCCCGTAGCCGGAGGGTCGTCGCAGTCGTCGCACCGTTTGGCCATCCCCTTCTCGAAAGACAGTTTGCAGGATGTCATGACCGAAAGCCAGCCGTCACACCACCGCTTTTTCATTCTCAAGCAATAGGCTTTTCTTGGCGGGTCTTCGGCATTCATGGGAGATGCTGCGGCACACATGGCTGCAGCCAAGCTGGTATCGGAGCATTGCTTTATTCATCATTGACGCACGGGCACTTGCTGCAAGAACGCCACACATCCTTGAAGCCTGCAACGCTGATCTGGATGCAAGAGATAAGATGCGAACCGACACACGGGTTCGGGTGTCAGAGTTCACGGCTTCGAGTCTTAGATTCTCATAGTTTGTGATTCAGGCGCGTCGGTTCAGGGCTCAGGATTTGAAGGGGTCCGAACACAGGTATGTTTGCCACAATTGACGATAATTTTCCGGGTCTCTGTCGTCGGGGGGGTTTGGTTCTTCATGAGCTGTGGTGGAGCATTTGGAAAAGCGAGCTCGGATTGTTGGCTCCCCTCGGCCTTGCTTTCCCGCGCGTTTGCGACTCTGTGCCCGAGGCTGCGATGAGCTTCACGGTGGCCTCCTGGCCAGAGCTGAAGAAAGCTCCGTTATGGATAACTCGACTTTACGGAACACTATAATCACCATAAGGGCTGGTTCGGTCACTATAGGGTTATGATTCTACAAGGGTTCTATTGAAAGTCGTAGTCTCCGTTCAGGTTCCATGTGAACTACGAACGTAAGGAGTTATGTTCTTGCGTCATATTCTCCTGATGGATGAATATGAATCGAGTACACCTGAGCCTTACACCCTCAACGCGTTAAAATCCATCAGTTCCTAAGCCCAGAAATCCCTTACTTTACCCTGACGAAGCCAAATTCTAAAACCGAACACCCCTAAACCCGATCCTAATCTCCGCTAAATCCCAAAATGCGAGACCATGGCCTTGACCTTCCAGCACCAAAAGCAGTTGACTTCTTGGACCCCAAATCCCTCAGCATCCTAAACCCTAAACCTTAAACCCTAAACCCTAAACCCTAAACCTTAAACCCTGAACCCTAAACCCCACCCTAGACCCCCCAACGATAAACCTGACCCTCCCGAGCCCTAAAGCATGAATCCTCCGAACTTCCAACCCTCCCAACACCGGCGGCTTATGGCCCAAATCCTGAAACCGTACGGTTTCGGGTTTAGGGTTTAGGGTACCCTGACAACCCAGGCCCTAAGCCCTGCAATACCATTCCATACAAAAAACCCACCAAATCCTTTCCCAAAGCCCAGCTGGTTCTCAAAGGCCAGGAAAACTGCCAACACCCTAAACCCACAACCCTAAACCCTAAACCCTGAACCCTAAACCCTAAACCCAACACCTAATCCCGAAACTCCAAAATCTGCCCTACTCCAGCAGTGCAAAAGTCCTCCCCTGAATCATCACCCCAACAGCCCAAGACCTCATGACCCCTCCAGCAGTAGAATAGAAGCCTCAATGTGACCCTCTATCCACAATACTTCCCCGTAACTTCCTCTACTTGGAGGTTCATGGGTAGTTCTAAGTGGGTTATAAGTAGGGTAACTATAGATATGATAAGTTATAACCCATATCAGGGGACTTATAACCCCACTTGTAACTACCCACGAACCTCCAAGTAGGGTAAACCCTAAACCCTAAACCCTAAACCCTAAATAACTCTAAACCCTAAACCCTAAACCCTAAACCCTACAAAAAGAGCCCAGGACCTCATGACCCCCTCGCCGGACCGTCGGCTCGGCTCCGGCGGAGCCCAGCAGGTCCGAGGCCACAAGTGGTCCGGGACCCGGCGGGTTTTGGGGGATTAGGGTGTAGGGTAGGGTTTAGGGTTTAGGGTTTAGGGTTTAGGGTTTAGGGTTTTGGGGGATTAGGTGATTAGGATCCTTGAGTAGAGGGTTCTTTAAGGGTGCTCCAAGGGTAACTGTAAGCCTTCTACTTGTCTCCGGGTTCGGCAGGGCTTGAGGGTTTGGGGTTTTGGGGTACGGAGTTATGGGTTTGGCTTTCTGGGTTTAGGGCTGCCACTTTCATCGTGTCATAGTTGCTATAGGTTGTTTTGTGTTACCGTTCGTGCCATTCCTCAAAATGCCATTGCTGCCTTTCGAGGCAACATCGACGTCCAATTGTTGTTGCCACCACCACCACCACCACCACCATCATCATCATCATCATCATCACCATCATCGTCATCAGCAGCGTCATCGCCATCGTCATTGTCATTGCCATCGATCGTTGGCGTTATCATCATCTTCTTCATCTTCATCTGCATCACCATGACCTTCTTCATCAACAACAACATCGAATGACATCACCGCCACCATCATCTGCGTTGCTGTGCTGATCCGGTCCTGAGCCCTGAGACCGTAGCCTTGAAAGCGGGTCCCTTCTGCCCTGGACGGCCAAGGTTTGAGGAACAGGGCTTTGACTTCGATGAGCTGCGACACTTGCCTGGCGCTTTCGGTTCATGGTTTTATTAGGGCTTGCAGGTGGTTTATTTTGTTCGGGGGTGCTTGTTTATATAGGTTTTGTCAACAAGTTCCGTTCAACCAGGACGTGCTGAATTCTCGAGGCAGTGATGTGAGGCTCATTGATGCTGCTGGCATACATTCGGTGGATGCCAGCTTCAGCCGGTCATTTACGAAGTTGGACTCCTTCGCACACCCTATCCCCAATCCCAAATTTGCAATTGATGTTCCGAAATATGTTTATACGGCTCCCCCCCTCGCTCTCTCCTCTCTGTCTCTCTGTTCTCTCTCTGTCGCGCCGTCTCTTTCGCTCTCCAATGCTCCTTTGGACGCCCTCGAAACCGAAGCCGCTTGGGTCCCCGGCCCTCGCCGAGGCAAGCAGGAGCTCCCTCCACCCCGGGACAGGCGATCTTCGTATCAGGGTTCCCATCTTAATGATTAATGGTTTTCCATAGCAGGTTCCTTTCCATAGGGGTTCCCATAGTCGATCCTTTAAGAGCTAATCTGAGGGTTCCCGAAGAGCACCAGGGGAAGAAGGACTGCATGTAGAGTCAGCGCAGCTCAGGATTTAAGCTCAGCAAGCCCAAGCAAAATCTTCAACCCTCTGTAAACCACCCTGCGGCCCAAACCGCCTCAGCCCCACCACCTAGGACCCAACCCCCTGGCCATCCGCCGCCCTAAACTTTAGGGGTTTAGAGTTTAGGGGTTTAGGGTTAGTTAAGCCATCAACCCTCCGCAGCGGGGGGATAGTTGCTTCTTATTCCGACCTCTACTTGGAGGTTCATGGGTTGTCTTCAGTGGGGTTATAAGTAGGGTAACTATAGTTATAACCCATGTTATGGGACTTATACCCCCACTTATAACCCTAAACCCTAAACCCTAAACCCTAAACCCTAAACCCTAAACTAACCCCTATAAGCACCCTATGAAAACACTTTTGCAGCGGGCAGGTGGGCTCGGCGCTCGTCGAAAGCGCCGTCGTCGCGGTCGATGAGCCGACTGTACTCCAGGGACTATTCCAAGGAATCCCTGCAGGCCCCCTTGTGCCAGTTTAGGGTTTAGGGTTTAGGGTTTAGGGTTTAGGGTTTAGGGTTTAGGGTTTAGGGTTTATTGTTGTATGCGTTTTCTTTTAGCTGGGCTGTTTAAGTTTGTACAAGGGTTGTTGTTCGATCTTTTTTGTCCTACAAACGTGGTTCATTGCAAGGGTTGACGAGTGTGTGTGCGGGCTGTTCTGCGGGTTCACGACGGGTTTTCAGAGTGTGTAGAGGAAAGGCCTTTTTGCGGTTTTGGGTTTCAGGGTCCGGGGTTTCGGGTTTGCGTTTCTCTGGGTTTAGGGTTGTGCTTAGGGCCCATGGCTTGGAGAGCCCTAAACCCTAAACCTCACGGTTTAGGGTTTAGGGTGATGGTTTGCCAGGAAGCGGAGTCCGGATTGTTTTGCCAGGAAGAGGAGTAGCAGTAGGAGTAGAGACGGAGCGGCAGCGCAAGCTTACACGTCGTATTCGACGATCAAGGAGGACAACAGTAGCAGCCGCAGCAATACCCACTGCTTTCCTTTCTACCCACTCTCCCTCATAGAACTGCTTCTGCCCCGCCTAAACGACCCATGTTACTTCAGCCCAGCTGAGCTCTTCTAGGAAGCCACTGTGGAGATCGACAAGCACGATGAGGATGACGTTTTCAATGAGATTCCCAATGAGGCGGCTCGCCAGACACTTAGGAACCCAAAAAGGATATAAGCATAAGCATTTTATAGGCATATCCCCACCATGTTGGGCTTCATCATGAGGGGGTTTATATGGGATATCCCCACCATATTGGGCTTCATTATAAGGGGGTTTACATGGGATATTTCTTGGGGCCCTAGACACTGCGAAATCTTCAGCTTTTCGAGGCTTCTGTTCGTATTAGCAGAAGGCGGTAAGGTAGGAGCCTAGAGAAATACCAATGATACTATTTTGGGGGTTCCTTATTATAAGAATAGGGTCTTGGGGCCCATTATACTATAACTATAAATTATGTATAGTCATAGTATAATGGGCCCCAAAACCCTATTCCAAGTATTAAGGCCCCTTGTTTTACCTGTCCCGCACCAGGCGCTTGGCATCGGCAGCTCTAGATCCGCTAAAAAAGCACGCGCTTTCTTTAGGGTTTAGGGTTAAGGGTTAAGGGTTAAGGGTTTAGGGTTTAGGGTTTAGGGTTCAAAGACCCCTGCATGTCTCGGCTGAGGACTGCATCTGGACCAACGTGGTCTTCGTAGATGGTGAGATTAAGAAGACAGGCCTTCAGGGCTTCTCGAAATGTGCTCGGGAGGAGATGGGGATGTAGTGAGCGGGTTTAGGGTTTAGGGTTTAGGGTTTAGGGTTCACATGATACGATTCAGCCAGCCAGGTGGATCTAACAAGTCCTACGACGCTGTTGCGACAACCATGTCGTGCCTGGGAAGCATAGCCGATTGTACTTCATATCCCAAGCCAAGAGAATACACACCCCACTACAGGATGCAGAAGATCCTGCTGCGAGCCCACCTCTCCAACTCTAACCCCATAATATAGGGGCCCAATTAGTTACCAATACTGTTTTTGAGGGTTCCTTATTATGATTACCTCTAAACCTCCGAGGTCCTACCTCCCCAACGCTCCAAACCTCCTAAAAGCCAACCCCCCCCTCTCCCCCTCCAACAAAAAAAAACAACGAAAACACGCTTAAACCCTAAACCCTAAACCCTAAACCCTAAACCCTAAACCCTAAACCCCATAGGGCCTAGGGTTTAGGGACCTGAACCCCAGCAGAAGCCCTCAGCCGTCGGGCAAAGCCCTGAGCCTTCGGAGCCCTCAGCCCCCGAAGCTCCAAACCCTCCTAGACCCTTAGACCTTTAACCCCTAAACCCCTAAACCCTAAACCCTAAACCCTAAACCGCAAACCCTAAACCGCAAACCCTAAACCCTAAACCGCAAACCCTAAACCCTAAACCCTAAACCCCTAAAACCTCTGAGCCTCTAGATCATCCTCCAGCCCTGAATCTAGGACATTTTCAGGTGGGTAGTTAGCGTTATAGGAGCCTGATAGTAGGTCTATATACCTTATAGAAGCCTTATAGAAGCCCTATATACCCTAAACTCCGCACCTGTAGTTTCCTTTAACTAAAGGAACCCTAAACTCTAAAGGGTTACACCATGAAGCATAAACCGTACCAAAAAGCACACGATACCTCACTCGCGCGAGGCACCCTCAGAACCAAAGCCTAAGCCACAGACCGCAAATCCTGGTTCAGGGTTTAGGGGTTTAGGGTTTAGGGGTTTAGGGTTTAGGGGTTTAGGGTTTAGGGGTTTAGTTTTTAGGGGTTTAGGGTTTAGGGGTTTAGGGTTTAGGGGTTTAGGGTTTTAGGGGTTCAGTATCTTGTGGGGCTCAGGATGTGACGTCGAGATCCGATGCCCTAGGCCCAGAAGTAGCTATTA